GGGGGGGCCGGGCCGGGCTTTGCGGTTCCGCTGCGGAGGCTCCGAGCCCGGGCGGGTCCCGCGGGGACCGGGGACGTGTCCCAGCCACGTGGACTCGCCTCCTGGGGCGGGGCCGAGCGGGACTCGGGGCGGGGCCGCAGCTGAAGCGCCGGGAGCCGGGAGCTGAGAGCGGGGCTGGGCCGGGCCGGGGACGCTGCGGAGCCGGCGGGATGCAGGTGCGTGTGTCGGTGCAGGGCCGTGCGAGGGCGATGGTGCAGTGACTGTGGGTGCAGTGAATGCAGTGGGGGGCCGTGTGGCTCTGGGTGCAGTGAATGCAGTGCGTGTTTCTGACACAGCGCACACTGGTGCCTCCCTGGGCTGGGTGCAGTGAATGCAGTGCGTGCAGTGGGGGGCCGTGTGGCTCTGGGTGCAGTGAATGCAGTGGGTGCAGTGGGGGGCCGTGTGGCTCTGGGTGCTCTGTGCTGGGTCTGTGTGTTGGCGTGAGACCCCGTGTGCATGGTGTGCCCACCTGTGCGGCGTGCGCCGGTGGGGTCCCTGCATTGGCCATGGGGGTACCGGGGAGCGGCTGTGAGGGTGTTCTGTGTGCGGGGCTTTGCCGGCGTGTGGCCGTGGGGTGCGGTGTGGGGCAGGGCTGTGTGGCCAAGGGGTGCCGCGTTGGGCAGGGCTGTGTGGGGCAGGGCTGTGTGGCCGTGGGGTGGTGGGGGGCTGTGTGGTGCGGTGTGGGGCAGGGCTGTGTGGCCGAGGGGTGCGTGTGGGGCAGGGCTGTGTGGGGCAGGACTGTGTGGCCAAGGGGTGCTGTGTGGCTGTGGGGTGTGGTGTGGGGCAGGGCTGTGTGGCCGAGGGGTGCTGTGTGGCTGTGTGGTGCGGTGTGGGGCAGGGCTGTGTGGCCGAGGGGTGCGTGTGGGGCAGGGCTGTGTGGCCGAGGGGTGCTGTGTGGCTGTGGGGTGTGGTGTGGGGCAGGGCTGTGTGGCCGAGGGGTGCTGTGTGGCTGTGTGGTGCGGTGTGGGGCAGGGCTGTGTGGCCGAGGGGTGCGTGTGGGGCAGGGCTGTGTGCAGCAGGGCTGTGTGGCCAAGGGGTGCCGTGTGGGTCACGGCTGTGTGGCCAAGGGGAGCTGTGTGGGGCAGGGCTGTGTGGCCGAGGGGGGCTGTGTGGTGCGGTGTGGGGCAGGGCTGTGTGGCCGAGGGGTGCGTGTGGGGCAGGGCTGTGTGGCCCGGGCAGGCTGTGGGAGGCTGTTGTGCGTTTCGCTGTGCCCAGCGGGCGCTGTCTGTCTGTGCCGGGTGGCCGGGGCCTGGCGCTGGCTGTTCTGTGTGTGTGGCGAGGAGCTGGGGGGTGCTCGGGGGGTGGCTCTTGCTGGTTCTGTGCTCTAGGGTTGTTGGGGGTAGGGGGCCCCCTGCAGGCTTTGGTCACCCTGCCAAAGGGCTCTGTGCCCACCCTGGGGCCCGGTGGGGGACGCTCCCTGCCCTGCACCCTGGCCGGATCTGTGTGTACGATGGGCATCTGGTGGCATTGTCAATCATGCTAGAGTGGGTGCTCCATCCTGCCCAGCGGGCCTGGCCCAGCCCAGCTTGGGGTGTCTCTGTCTAACGCACGTCCTGCGGGCATCTCTGCCAGTGGCAGGGGAAGCCCCAAGGCATGCTGGGTACGCTCTGTATGCCAGGGCTGGGTGGCATTCACACAGACGAGGCACCTTAGAGCGGGGTGGACACGCAGGGTCAGACGGCGCCAGAGGGTGCCAGGGAGCTGGGACAAAACAGAGCAGGAGCGGGGCAGCTGGAGAGCCAAGGAGCTTGCACTGTCCATAAAGCACCTCGGCCGACTCGGAGCACCCTGCAGTGGGCGTCTCCAGAGGGCCCCACCACGGAGACGCTGCGCTGGGCTGGGGCCTTGTCCTGTTGCCGCCTGCCCTGGAAGAGCAGCACCTGATATGGCGTCGCCCGTGGCTCTGGTCGGTGGAGACGAGGACCGACCGCGGCCAGGCCCACGGTGCTACCTTGGCTTCTGGCGGGGGCTGCAGACACAGTCACTGCGCCAGAGCAGGGCGCGGGGCGCCCGGATGCCCCAGAGCAGCCTCCCCACTGGCTCAGCCTCCCGCAGCCGTGGCCAGCTGGCGCCGAGCAGATAGCGGAGCATGGCATGGCCAACCCGGGGGCTGTGACTCACCCCGCTCGGCACACGCCCGGGGATCCCGCCGTGCACCCCACATGGTGCCTCGCTGGGGCTCCAGGCGCTCCACGCTGCACCAAAAGGCCAGGCCGCGGCGGAGTCGGACGCCACCGGAGGGAGACTCAGCCCATGAGTTACATGAACCCCCACGCTGGGCTCCGGCAGGGGGGTGACGCTGCTACTTGTCCCCCCCAGGCTGTCCCCAGCTCTGGTCTCAGGATGAGCTTGCTGCTAGTGTCTCTGCTGCTGGCTGTGACTCCTGGCTGGGCCGCGCCCAAGGACAGCGCCAACAGGTATGGGAAAGCAGGTCTGCCACGGCCCTGCCAGGTGGGCGGGATGGAGAAGGGAGCCCGAGTGGGGAGCGGGGCAGGAGCATTGCCTGGGGGAGCGCCCTGCAGGGGGTGCTGTGGGGAGCGGGGCCATAGCACTGGCTGGGGGGGCACTCTGGGGAACCGGACTGGAGCCCTGGCTGGGAGGGGCCAGGCCAGAGCCCTGGCTGCAGGGGGTTGGTGTTGGGGGGTAGGGCCAGAGCCCTGCCTGCAGGGGGGTTGCTGGGGGGCGCAGAGCCCTGGCTGCAGGGGAGGTGCTGGGGGGATGGGGCCGAAGCCCTGGCTACAGGGGGGTTGCTGGGGGTGGGTGGGGCCAGAGCCCTGCCTGCAGGGACGGGGTGCTGTGAGGAGCTCTGGTGTCTGTACTGCCCCATTGGCTGCTCTAAGTCCCTGTGCTGTGCTGTGGGGCTGGATCCCGCCCCTGTGACCCTTGTTTCCCCGTTTGTTGCTCCCAGGCCTGAGGGCCCTGCTGCGGAGCCTGTTCCCAACCTTCTGCACCCCGAGCCGGAGGAGCTGCGGTGAGTCCAACTCCCCCAGGGAGGGACCCCAGGCCTGGGGCTGAGCAGCTGGCAGGGAGCCCAGCCTGTGGAGGGACAGGTCTGTGGGGGTGTTGCTGGGGCCCCACCCCCTGGATGTGTCGTTGTGGGGTGGGTGGGGGGCACTGACTGGGGTGGGATCTGCCTGTCTGGAGGGGGCAGGCTTTGCAGGAGGCTTTGCTGCAGTGATGCGCCCGGCTGGGGCCCGGACAGAGCGACCTGGGACGGGGGGCAGGGGAGTCCCATGCTGGGGACAGGGAGTTGGGCAGGACAAAGAGAATCAGAGAAAACATAAGCACAGCCAATGGTCCAGCTGGCCCAGGAGCCTGTCTGCCGGTGCCAGGCACTTCACAGGGAGTGAACAGAACAGGACAACTGTGACCCTGCCCCTGTCATCCAGTCCAGCTTCTGGTCTAGGGACGCCCAGAGCAGAGGGTGTGTCCCTGCCCAGCCTGGCTAATAGCCACTGATGGACCTGTCCTCCAGGAACTGAGCTAGTTCTTTTAGAACCATTCTAGTCTTGGCCTTCACAACCTCCTCTGGCAAGGAGTTCCACAGGTTGACTGTGCGTTGTGTGAAGAAATACTTCCTGTTGTTTGTTTAAACCTGCTGCCTAATAATTTCATTTGGTGACTCCTTGTGTTATGTGAAGGAGTAAGTAACACTTCCTTATTTACGGTCTCCACACCAGTCCTGATTTTATAGATCTCTATCATATCCCCCCTTAGTCGTCTCTTTGCCAAGCTGAACAGTCCCAGTTTTATTAATCTCTCCTCGTATGGAAGCCGTTCCAGACCCCTAATAATGTTTGTTGCCCTTTTCTGAACCTTTTCCAATTCCAATAGATCTTTTTTAAGATGTGGGCGTATCATGGATTTATACAGAGGCAATATGATATTTTCTGTCTCATCATCTACCCCTTTCTTAATGATTCCCAACATTGTTCACGTTTTTGACTGCCGCTGCACATTGAGTGGATGTTTTCAGAGAACTCTCCACAGTGACTCCACGATCTCTTTCTTGAGTAGTAACAGCTAATTTAGATCCCATCATTTTATCTGTAGAGTTGGGATTCTGTTTTCCAATGTGCATTACTTTGCATTTATCAACCTTGAATTTCATCTGCCATTTTGTTGCCCAGTCGCCCTGTTGGGTCCCACGGATGAGTGCAGCAGGGGCAGTGCCCATGGGAGCAGTTGGGGGGCAGAAGGGACCCCACTTGCCCTGCTGGCTCTAGGCCTGGTGCACTGCAGCCTGAGGCCTGCCCCAGAGCAGAGCGGGCAGAGGACCAGCCAGGGATGATACATGCCCATGGCCTTGGCAAACCGTTCCTGGGGTTAATTCCCTGAGTCGGGTTTGTCCAGCCTCGCCTTGGCCCTTTCTCTGCTCTCCCCTGCCCCTGCCGTTCCTTTCCCCCATGCCCCCCTGCCCCCCGCAGCCCTCCGCCCGGCCTCACTCTGCTCCTTGTTCCAGGCTGTTGCAGAGCTACCTGCGGCGCGTCCGGCAGATGGCACAGGATCCTGCTCACATGACGAGGGAGCAGGGTAAGGGTCACGTCAGTGCCAAGCGAGGGGGGGCTGGGCCCTCGGGTAGCTGTGCTCATGCTGGGACCGGGGGGTGAGGGCCCCCCCGCGGTGCCCAGTGCCCGTTGGCTCTCACACAGCGATGGCAGCTGACACATTCCAGCCCCGTTCTGGGGCAGGGGGTACCCAGGTGCCATGCAGACACCCCGCCCCCCCGGCACTCCTGCTACAGCCGCTCACCCCCCCCCAGTGCCCGGCCCCCCGTGACTCCCCCTCTCTCGCAGTGCTCCTCTACCTCTTCGCGCTGCACGACTACGACCGGAGCGGGCAGTTGGATGGGCTGGAGTTCATGCAGCTGCTGATGGAGGTGGTATCCCAGGAGGCCCAGGGGCAGCCTTCTCCTGACGCGGTAGGTGCCACTCAGACCCCCCGTCCCCCCCAGGGGCTGGGGGACCAGGGGCCAGCTGGGCAGGGGGGTGGGTGCATCTCCCCTGGGCTGAGATCTGCACCTGGCTGGTGACTGGCAGCCTCCCTCTCCCCACAGAGCACGGGCAGCAGCAAGGAGACCCCGGGGGTCTCCCGTGGGGGGCAGAGCTCAGGCACCGCATGGTGCAAAGGGCCACTCCCAAGACAGGCCCCTTACCCCATTCCCCACCCCTGAACCAGCCAGTCCCCGCCCTGGGGC